ACTATGTCCTCTTACGAAGACGACGGCCCTTCCCCCCTTACGAGAATCGCTCAATTGGAGTCTCTCGTAAAGCAATTACGAATGGCCCTTTCGCCAGCGCAATGCGTTCTCTTTTCGGATCCCGATAAGTTCAATAATACGGTCCTTATTTAACGCTTCAGCTCAAGACTTCGGAAGTTCGGAATTCAATTACAATATCGGTATTCTCGGACCAGCTAGCTTTCGCTTACGGTACGGTTCAGCGATAAGATGCTAGGCTCCCCTCTTTCACGGCCCAGCTCCTTATCGGCGGTAAAGCTCTTGGCGGACCCACTACTCAACTCAATTACGTTTACGGTACTCCGATACGGCTCCCGGTCCTCATTCAATCAATTTGAACTCAACTATACGGACTCGCTCAAACAGCCAAATTGACACTCTTTAACGTATACCGAGTACGCGCACGTCATTCAGCAACCTGAACGCTTTTCTTTTCGGCTTTTCGGCTTTTCGGCTCTTTGGTTCTTCCGGTCCTTTTGGTTTTTCTCTCGGCCCGTTTTACGGATTCTCTTCGTCCCTCGGCCCCTTTCGGTCCCTCAAAACCGCCTTCGCACGGCCACGGGCCCCTCTCTCTTTCGGCGACTTAACCGACCTCCCGGTACTCAAGTATTTGCAGCACGTCATTTGCAGCTCGAGCACTTGCAATACGCTTTCGGCTCTTTCGACAATCAAACAAAGACTCAGCTTTTTGGAAGATCGAAATCCCACCCTCCAGCATGCTCCTCACAGCTCCCTCGATCAGCAAGCTTATCAATCTACCCGTTGTGGTGCAATCAATTTGGATTGCTGGGTGCTCCTTCCTTTTAGCTAAGCCTTGAGTTCTTTTCGAAAACAAGGGTTTAAGAGGGTTTGATTCAGACGAAAAGGAGGAAATTTTGGCGGAATGGAACGCTTCTGGAGGCTACGACGCTGACCCTGACGATTACCGCGATCTGTAGCCTCGGCGTATTTTTTGGTTTTTTTTTCAGCAATTCCACCCGTGAACCATGGTTCACGACTGAATTTTTTCCTTCTTTTGTCAGATACTTTTGAGAGAGCTGGGACAGCTCTCTAAGGGGGTAGTGTGACAGCCTGCCTTGTTACCTGCAGTCAGCTGATCACCCATTCAGGCCTAGCGCCTGTGGCCATGTATATAGACCTTCTTGAGCTCTCCTGAGCTTCCTGTTTTCCTCTCCTCACTTTGTATTCTAAGGTCAGAATTCATCAGTTCGTCACATTTACACTCGGTAATTATTGATTTTAAATTATTACTTTAAGATTCTCTTAAGCTCTTATATGAACCTCCGCGCTCTCGTGAGTTCTTTTAAGTAATCGCTTAAGGTCGTCACATCTTAAAGTTTTGAATAAAAAGAATTGACCGACTTACTATATTTAAAATCGATATAAATATATTAATAAATTATGTTAATATTTAGATTTATAAATTATATTTAAAGTTAATTATATATATATTTTATTTAATATAATAACGATTTTAAAACTATCTATATAAACTCATCTATTAATTTATAATAATGAAATTCAAAAGGCTTTCGCAAGCTATCGAATTTATTACTTTCTTTTCTTACGATACTTCCCTTTTGTATATAAAAAGTCTTTTGCTCGTTAACAATACTAATTCTATAATATCCGTCGTTATATTCGTTTTTATTAATCTATTTAACAAATAGCTTAATTTTATAGCCGTTATTTAAAAACCGCTTAACTCGATATTCGTCTATTCTAACTAATCAGCTACGATTACGCCCTTCTTCGTCTAGCATTTCTATTGTACACCGAGCGTTTCGACCGTTCGTTCGTCTAATAAAAAAAGAATAATAAGTTTTATTATCTACTTTAATAAAGATCGAATTTAATTAGTTTGCAATCCTTAATAAATTAATAACTTGATTAATATATAGATAATAAAACGGCACTTATAAATAAATCGGCAAGCGTCCGTTAAAATATGAATTTTTTTTATCTATTCTTTAGTTATAATAAATATTCGAGCTTGTAAATATAATTATAAGCTAATACGATTATAAAGTGTTCTATCGTTTTATATAATAAATTTTTAATTAAATGCTTTTATTTTTAATATTTATCAAATTATATTAATTTTATTTACCGCATAGCAGCAGCCGAAAAGAAAGCTGCAAAGATTATATTTAAATTAAGATTTTTATAAGCACTTTATCTTTATATATTAATTAAACCTTAATAAATTTAAATAAGTACTTATTATAACGACCTTAAGCGATTATTTAAAGAATTTATAAAAAAGCGAAAGGATTATATAAAGCTTAAGAAGATTATAAAATCATTATTTGAATTTGAAATTAATAATTATCGAAAGTAAAAGTTGAAAAAAACTGAGTATTAAATTCTTTTTAAGCGATTAAAGAATATATTCGTAACTTCGTAACGATCGTCAAAGTACTTGCAATTGCAAAACACTCGATTATAAAAGTATCTGAATTTTAATTGCTTTTTAAAATTCAAAAGAGCTGATTCCTTTTATATGATTAAAAGGAATCACGCGCACTAGCTAACTAATAAGTTTACTAGTTAAGTTAAAAGTCCTTTGACTAGTGTGATATGCTAAGCGAAGCATGTTAAGTAGCCCGTGAACTCTTTTAAATACTACTAGCTAGCTAAAGTCGATATAGATATACCGATATTGAGGTCTATATATAAGAAGGTTGTTCGTAATAGTTAACTTAAGTAAAAAGAGCTTAAAAGTGTTAAAAGATATAATTATAATTAAGCTTTAATAAAAAGGAAATAAAAAGAAATGAAAAGATAAAAAAAAACCGTTAGTTAAAACTTAACGCTCGCAAAAATGCTGCTTAAAAAGAATTAAGCGTAAGCAAAACCCTTTTTAAAAATAAACTAACTTAATAAAATATATTTAAATTATAAAATAATATTATATAATATTCAAGTATATAAGACGTTAATATATAAGTTCAAATCAATAGTTTAATAGCAAATTCGCTAAAATCTAAACATGTCTTCTTAAGCTACTGATTCGTTTTCATTTTAAATTACTTTAACTACTTACGAAGATACCGATCTATTTCAAAGTTAAGAGTTCGAAAGCTTTATAATTAGTTTCTTTAACTTAGTACTATTAGCAACTATTAAATGTTCTAATTAATATTATATTTAAAACGTTAAAGAGATTAAGACTTTTAATACTTAGTAATCACAGACCTTATAGTATTCTTAATAATAAAAAGCTAATTAAAATCTTTTGCGAATCGATTAAAATAAAAAGAAAACTTCTTTTATATAAACTAAATTCGTTTAAGCAACTAAGAAATCAACAAGAGAGCTTGTAGTATGCTATAAAAAGTGCGACCGAGCTTTAAAGCATCCGAAGCTAAAGGCTTTTAGAACGAAAGCATTAACCGATTATTAAAAAACGGATGTTTGCAAACGCGTCGTAAGTAAGCTAAAACAAAAGCTTCGGCAAACTCAATTAAGATTTAAATCTCTTTAACGCAATTTAATACGTTTGTTTTTATTTATAAATTCGATTAATAAATTTAGTAAATCTAATTAATAAATTTAATTAATAAATCAGATTAATAAATCTAATTAATAAATTTAATTAATAAATTTAATTAATAAATCTGATTAGTAAATCGGATTAGTAAATCTAATCAATAAATAATAAAACTAATATTTAATAAACACATTTATTACGAAGAACGCTTTCGTATTAAGACTTAAAATCAGCATTTCGAAAAAGTGTTTTAGATATTATATTATCTACGCGAAGCTCGTTTCGAATAGTTAATAACCCGGATTAAAAATCTCTTTACGAATTACAAAACTTATATCTTAAGCTCTTTAATGCTTCAATTATTAAGCGAGACTTCGATAATAAGATTCTAGAAATTGATCGCTATTTATTGGACAATTTATTAGCTAATTAAAAACTCAACATTTTATTAGATTATTAGTTTAGCATTAAGCGCTATTCTTTTATATGCATAATCGAAATTGCAATTATAAAAGATTAGCATATGATTCAGCTTATGCTTAGATTTATATATATTAAGTTTAATTATATAAGAAAAGAATTAATAAAAATTATTTACGAACGTTTTATTAAATTAAGCTTAATAGAAAAGATAATCGCGATTATAACGGATAACGCATCTTCGAATAATATAATAATAAAAGAGTTGCTTAAATGCGTCGAAGATGCATTTAAAAAAAAGCTTTTTATAAGCTAAGAGATTTTATACGTTCCGTGTATAGCTTACGTCTTGCAATTATCTTTTAAAGCGTTGCTCGGACCGCGATTATCGCTAACGAACGAAAGCTTAAAAAAGCATTAAAAAAAAGATTCTAATATAAACGAGCTAAAAAAAGCAAGAAGACGCGATAAACGAAGGATTGCATATATACTTACGATTATAAGTTTTTTTTTTTAAAAAAATATTTATTAATTATATTTATTAATTATTAATCAACGTACTTAAGTTCGAAAGTTTGTTAAGTGTATTACGATTAGCTAACTTCGAAAATCGCGATTTAATAAAACGATAAAAGCTTTTATTAACGATTCAAAGCATCTTTTAACGAAAAGCTTAAAGCTTGTTTTAAATATTATTATAAAATAAGATTTTACATTTTATATGCTTAATCGATTTATAACTCTTAAAGATGTTATTTAAAGATATTATATAAAGATCGATAAGATAAGTATTTTTAAATTATTTAATACTTAATAAAAGCAAATCTTATAGTTAATCGATATCCTTCGACCGTTTTACTTTTTAACTATACACTTAAGTGAAGAGCTTAATCTTATTATTTAATACGGATTTTTAATATTCGATAAAATATTCGAACGTTTAAATAAAGCATAAGCACGATTAAAATCTAAATATATAAAGATTTCGAAAGAAGATCGTAATAATTTTAAATAGATCTTGCAATTAAAAGAAAGCGTTATTAATGCTATCGAGAAATTAAATAAGTATTATAAGAAAACGCAAAAGCTATTAAAAAATATTTTTGCTTTCGCGATAATCTTATATCTTATTATTAAGCTAAAGACTTTCGATTTAAATTTTTCTTAGCTTTACGAAAGTAAAAATTAGTTTATAATATATCGAGCGAGATTCGAAAGGCTTTTTAACGAACATTATAAGTCTTTAATATCTACAACTTAACGTATTGATAATATTAAAGCAATCGATCGTTAACCGATAGCCGCTTTATTATTCCGCGGCAAATTAATGTCAAGTTCTTCTTTATAAGCTTCTTTCGAAGATACAAATCACGAGTCGTCGAAAGTGTATGATTATCTTTTAGCTTGTAAGTTTGAAATTTTAATTTAAAACTTTAATTTTATTGATTTTTATTAATTGAATTTAACGGTCGACGGACGAGAGATTTTAACTTTTTAGCGAAACCTTGAGCCTCGGTACTTTGATCTAGCTCGAATAGCTAGAGATTTTTTATATATCTTTTTAACTAGTGTTTGCGTAGAAAAAGTATTTAATATTGCAAGAGATATTTGCGATTATCGTCGCAGTAATTTATCGTTATCAACAATCGCAAAAGAAATAACTGCTTTATATTTCAAGATGTGTAATACTCGCTTAAATAAAGCTCGGCATTTATTCGAATCGATTTTAATAAATTACAATAATTTAGATAAGGATCAGCTTAAAGAAGAATTCGAATAAAAAGTATAAAAGTTTTAAGAATAATAAAATCGTTAATTTTAAAGCTTATTTTGTTTTGAATATATCTTTGCTTGCGATAATCTTACGATCGATCAAGACTTTCGAATAATAAATTTTAAGTAACGAAAAGCTAAGTTGATAATATTAAAAGCTAAAGTGCGAGAATCACGTAAGTTTAAATAATATTAATTTTATAAATATTTATTAATTATATTGAATAAAAGAAAACTTAAATAAGTTTTAAG